CGTTATTTTATTTCATAATTTGAACTAAGTATAATACCAGTTTTGACATTTCTACAATATTGATTTTTTTCAATATTTCTAAACAGGAAACCTACGGCTATTACTAAATATATTACGGCGACTTATTAAAATATCCCTATACGGAGTCATTTCATTATTATTATAATCACGCCTTCTTTAGCTCAAATAATCGCCCAAATTTTCATTTTAAGCGTGTTAAGCATTAAACCAGACACTTTAAAATTATTACGTGTGTTTCCCGACCAGATGCTGCCGCCTTCTATTTGATTTATCTTTCAGTTCATCAATACCCGGATGATTCTTATTGTTCTTGCTAACCTCCGGCGCGCGACAACCCATCCAATTTGGTATCGAACCAACGTAACATTGATTCTGGTGGGAGAGTAGTGTAGTGGTATTGAGCCCTACCACGAGACAATACGAAAAATAGACATTCAACGTTTAACGCTGGGAAATAGCTAACAATGGAGAAGGCGGAAATAATGAATCGAATAAGTTGGAGTTGATCGTATGGCATGGCTCGGCCATGCAGGCGTGGTCCTTTCTAAATGTTACGTTATATCTTTTATTCATATTAAATATATTTTTCCATCTCTAGCCTGAAATTCTTCTCCATCATCTGTTGGTAATTGTTAAGATGCAGTGAGTTGGTGTAGAAGATGATGTGATTTGCACGTGAGATCTTACAGATTAGGCAGTTACATCATGACAAATCTACAATTTTAGGATTAGGTCTATTATTAGAGCAGTGCTAATATCATAGTAGACCATAATTCTACAAAGTTATTACGAAAAAACCAACATGTTATTACATTAGTTGTAATATATACACACAAGAAAAATATACAGGAAAATCAAAGGTCATGCCTTTTTAAGCAACTGTTTTATAGTCAATAACGACAACTGTACAAATGATGAGAACTATTGAGCAAATGCAAATCATGGCAAAAACCAACTAAAAAATGAGTCTATTTGAATTGTCCTCACGAAGATCCACCTGAGTGTCCGGAGGTAACATTGGCATACAAGACAAACGACGGAAGAGTTGAATACATGCAAACAAATATAAAAGTACAGGAAACGCCAAAGTTGATATGCATTTACATTCTACGGACAAATAATTTTTGGCAATAGATTTATGGGTAGTACAGAATATGACATGCACGTTAGTAATGTACAGTGTTTTACTGTACTGAGTTATGTGAATGTGGTTGAACGCAACGGAAGCGAAAATGCAACAAATAATGGTGTCTTAGGTTGCTAATAATAGCGAAATACATAACTATTAGTAAACTCACAAAAAATTGAACTGTTTATTTCGTTTTATTCAAATGAACATAACGTCTAGGTTTCCCTACACTTCTGCCTGAACGTATTAAACATATAAAATTACTGCTCAGTTTTTCATTGTCCTTCCACTAGCGAGGTTTTTAGTTGGCGGTTAAATCTCTCGACCAAACTATTCGCTGTTGGATAGTAGGCTGTTATTTTAGTGTAGCTCACTTCTGAAAGTCTGGTAAACTTGTAGAATTAAGGTCTTTCTCGGATGTTAGTGCCATTCTCATGATAGACCAAATCCCGCAATTGTAGATATTTCGTGATGTAACTGCCTAATCTATAAGATCTTACATGGAAGTCCCATCATTGTCTACACTGACTCATCGTATTGTGATAATTAACGATATGACACTTAGCACTTAGGAAGAACACATTTTGGCTGGGGATAGGACAATATATTTAACGTGAGAAAGTATAGGTTACACAAGAATGACCACACTTGAAAGATTGAGTGAATTTTCGCGCGTTAAACATTGCTGAACCTCTCTCGGTGTTACATGTCAATATCGAACCTCCTCAGTAATTATATATTTAGCTTTTAATACCATGTGGTTAGAAACCAATACTACTACAAACTCCTGAGACAGGACGATTGAAACTGTGGGCCACAGTCTGTAGTAATGATTGATGGGACTCCGTGGTTTGGTATCTAGCAATAAAGGAATGCCGATGCTACTGTCTCTGCCGACGTATATTTAACAGGGCATGCTATCGTTAATCTAGTAAACCCATCCACGACAGGAAGGACATGTGTGAAGGAGTTCGATAGTGGAAGGGGGTCGACAATGTCTGGGTGTACGTGTTGAAAGCGTCTAACAGGTAATGGAGGCTTTCAAAGAGGACTGACTGTGTGTCGTTGGAATTTACTACGTCGGCATTGAAAGGAGTTTCGTGTTCATCATTTTATATCCGAGTCAGACGAAATGTTTTGCGATGAGTTTCGCTGTAGCTTGGATCCCAGGATGTGAAAGTCCGTGTAACTGTTGAAAGGTCCGTCGTCGACAAGCTTTAGGAACAAAAGGACAATTGTTACCAGTTGAAACATCGATGATAACAGACAAATCTAAGAAAGGAATCGGTACAGATTTGAGAAGAGAGTTAGTCTTCTCTTTGTAGGTTTTCAGATCTGCGCCGTCTAACGGTGATTTGGCTATGGTTTTTAGGTTGGTATCTTGTTTTTGTAACAGCGTATTGATATCCATTTGAGATGGAGCATCGGTTGTGATAGTGGAGTGTCCTTTGATGAACTGGATTTCAATTGTAAGTTGTGAGATACAATCCAGTTGTCTTGCTTATCGTGGGGAATATCGATCATATGACGTGTGAAAGGAATAACATAAGGGTTTATGGTCGATCATTATCGTAAATTCGCGTCCCTGTGATGGAAAAGTGAAATGTTTTACCACCAAATCAATGGCTAGCATTTCACGTTCGAAAGTGCTAGTTGATAGAAGTTTAGAAAAACGTTCGATAGGAATGATGCCATTCACTCGTTGTTGCAGTAGTGCCCCCACAACGTTTTGAGATGCATCGGTGCAGAAGACTAAGTGTGTCGTAGGGTCAGAGTTTAAATGTTGTCACATAGTAGCGTTTGTCATCGTAGACGTTATGTTAGCAAAAGTTGCTTTTGCACCAAGCGATAGGGTGAGAGGTTTGTCTCTCTCTTGACTTTGTTTCTTTTCTATCCAGCTCCAGAAGATCTGTTAAAGGTTGTAGTGTTTCTGTACAATCGGGTAAGAAGCGACTATAAAAATTGCGAATGAAAAAAATTGACGCAGATATTTTAATGAATTCGGCTCTGGATAGATAATAATAGCTACGACCTTTTCTTGGAGTGCTTTGATACCTTGAGAGTCGATATGGTGTCCCAGAACCCCAGAGTTGGAACGCCGAATATGCTCTTTGGAGGGTTAGCCACAACACTATAACTTTTGAAGCGATCGAAGAGAATGTGTAGATGCTGTACATGTTCTTCTGTAGATGAGCTGGCAATTAAAACGTCGTCGATATAAACAAATACAAAGTCTGAGCTTCTTATAACCCTGTCTATAAATCGTTGAAATGTTTGAGAGGCATTTTGTAGTCCGAATGGCATCCTCAAGAATTCAAACAAACCAAGGGGTGTGATTATGGCTGTTTTTTGATATCTTCTGATGCTATCGGAATTCGATGGTATGATCTTACTAGGTCCAGCTTCGAAAATATCTGTTTTTCATGTAAGTTCAAAGAAAAATCACATAAATGAGGATTGGGGTACTTATCTGAAGCAGTCTGGTTATTTAAACGACGATACTTCCCACATGGACGCCCGTCCTGATCCTTCTTGGGAACTTTGTGTTAGGACGAAGTCTATGAACTTTTAGGTTGTCACATGATACCTAGTTGCACCATGTGCTTGAATTTCTTCTTTGCAATTTTTAACATGTCCGAAGACCGCCTACGTGACTGACTAAAGATTGGTGAACCTGTGGTGGTTATATTTTGTCGAACATGGAATAGTGTACGTTCGTTCCGATAATCCGCTTCGTTAGTGTGCTCGTAATTTGATAGGACACTTATGAAAACCTTATCTCTCGGTTAAACTACTCAGATGCCTTACATTTGAAAATTAAAGAAGACACCAATCAGTTGTAGACTTATGTTCCTATCTACCAGCTTCTTTTCATTTATGTCCACCAGCAAATCATAAGCACTAGGAAATTCAGCCCCTAGGATGAGTTTAACTTCAGTTAGATGAGTCCATTAAAACTGTGGTCAGCATTCAATGTTGAAAACTTACAGAGATATTTAAACCTTACGATGAGTACCTCCAATCACTCGACCTTTACCCATTAGAGTATAGGCGTCTTAAGGGTGACCTTCTAATGGCTTACAGTATCCTTAACACTCCTGGACATCCTCTTAAACACCTACTTAGGCTTATTCCCAACACTAACCTAAGGGGTAACACCCAGAAATTAGAGATACAACATAGTAGAAAGGACTGCAGGCACAACTTTTACTCCTTAAGAGTTGTCAAATTCTGGAATTCGCTGCCAGCTGAGCTAGTCCAAGCAACTTCCCAGGAGTCCTTTAAGAGGCGACTTGATCTATTCTTAAGGACTAAGGATAGTATCTTACTATGATTTACCAATTTATTTTTTTCTCTTTTATCGTTAACATACCTAGGTTCTTGCCTGGAGGTATTGGTGATCCCCTGCTACTAAACACGGAAGCCTGTTAAGCGAAAGCTTCTTCTATTCTGCCCACAACCATTTGAACCATTTGAACAATTTTTGGGATTTATTTACCGCTACACCTGCTAGGTCCTCCAGGGTTATTGATTAACCTGACAAACTTAGGATCTGTCTTACATTATGAGGCAGTCATTGTAGCCACATTTGTCTCAATAACACCTCAACCAACTTATATGAAACGTCTAATTGCTTCATCACCCACTTAAAGTACAATACATACAAATTAACAAATTATTACCAAACTGACTGGAATAGGTGCAGTCGAGTGACTGAAACACCACCTACTGGACAATACCAAGTACCTAAAGCCGTCTCCGAACAACAAGAATCGGACGCAAAGAATTCAACCACTTTATACAAGCTGGTGATAAAGATTTTTGAGGTATATGGGAGATATTGGATATTGGATATATTGAAGGTTTATGACCATAAAGGTCATAGGTGGGAATTTTGTTTGATTACCAAGCTTGTTTTATGATTGTCAGTCCGTGTTGTCGGATTATTAGAAGTTGCTGTGTAAGCAACCGAGGAACGTTTCACTCTCATTTGGCTGCTTTGTGTCCTTCATATATCAAAATACCTAACTGCCCCGCTCGGATATTTGCTACAAAGTCTAGAAAAACTAACCGTCCTAGTTCATTTATTATTGACACAAAAGAAGCTAGGCAGCGTAATTCAGATTCATCAACAGTTAGTTCAGATCTGGATGAAATTTTAAAGGATCAAACACCATCAGCACAGCTTCGACTAGTAGATGCTTATCGTAGAGGTTTTCAATCGTCAACTGACAGTGAAAAGTCATCAAGTGGAGCGCAGATATGGAAGACACTTATTCTCAAGACTCTTCTTTTTGGAGTGGTTTCTTGCTGCACCATAGTGCTTTTTAAAAAAACGCTTGGTGGTAAGTTATTTGTTGCTTGTGTTAACTGGAATTTCGGTCACTAGGTACGTTCCCGAAATTCTTGGACCAGAATGTAGGGTCGTTTGCTGAAAACACTGATGTTAACTTTAGTGACGTTCAAGGAGTAGGTCTCAGTTTCATTAACCAAAATTTTAGTGTGATGAGGTCAAAAAGGAACTCGTGGATGTTGTTGAGTTTCTTCGAAACCCTGAAAAGTTCAATCACATTGGAGCTAAACTCCCTAAAGGTGTTCTCCTTGTGGGTCCTCCTGGAGTTGGAAAAACCTTACTCGCTAAAGCGGTGTCTGGAGAAGCCCAAGTATGTTAAAATACAAGGATCTTCAACATCAAGGACTACTTTAAATGTTCCACGTTTTTACATTTATCTCTATTTTCTTTTCTACAAACAAGAGTATAGTTTCGTGTGACTAAAATGTCAGCTTACTTCCTGTTCAAAACATTTGACCGTACAACTGGCTATATTATTTGATACCAACTGTGGTTGAGATATCATCAAACAGACAAAAGCTTTGGGTATATTGACCGGACGACTAGCTTCCGGAACTTTTGTCAAGAATGATACCACATTCCAAATTTATCTTTTCCTAGAGTTTTTTAGATGCCAGATAGATCGTGAAATTAAGAATAATACAGATTTAACTAGGATAGTGTATTACACAATCAGTCGAAACAGTTTGATTGTAAACAAGATAAGGGCAAACACTGTTACATTAATTATTTTATGTAATGTAACACATTTACCAGTTTGTTATATTCGCTTTCTTAATGGCCCATAGCTGAGGGTAAATGAACTAAGTAAGAACTAGGACACGGATGTTCTCAAATGTTTATGTCAGTGGTAACAAACAATTAAAATTGAATCGAATTGAATAGACGCAACTGGACGGACATAATAGCAGTGTTGGTTTGGGCACCCGGGCAGCATCCCAGCCCTCACACAAATCGAGTGATTTATGTAGTGCATATCTATTTGGTGCCTCCTTGTACCAATATACATATATATATTCAGATAATTAAATATAGAATATCCGGCAATTGTGTAGTAGTGAAATAAATCTAGGGTTAAATTAGACTGGTCTAGTTGGCATTGTACTGAAACAGAAACAAACTGAGTGTCAGTTAGTCAGTGTATCACAATATAATAATGAAATGAACCAACAGATAGATAGGCAAATAACCAAACAAATAAATATTATAACACATATCGAACCCCCTCATTACTAAAATGGTGTTGCTATTGAAATCCAGCAATCCCTTGGAAAAAACCATGGTCAAACACAGTCGGTTAACATTCTCAACTAGGAGAGACCAGAGTTCACAAACATAGAACAAAACTCCTCTAACCGACACGTACAACCGGACTTTCACAGCCAGACTAACATCACAAAGACACCAAAGATGACTCAGATTGACACAAACCACTCTGGCTTTTACCATACATGAGTCCATCTCATCACTCACGCCACCACCAGCACTTGAGCAGCTACTCAGATACACGATCATTTCGACTACATCCATCTGCTTACTACCAAAATTGAGTGCATGTTCAGGCTCCTGTCAGTCTTGTAAAAGTAATTTGCACTTTGGTGTTAAGCAGATGCCATGCTCACAGACATTGATTACCAACTGGTTAAGTACGGATCGCATGGTTTGGATATCACCACACAATAAAACAATATCACTCACATACTCAAGGTCGGAAAGTCTTTCTCCATGTAATGGATCCACATCATTACTTACACCTATCAGTTCCGTCTCCGGAACGTCATCGATGGCAAAGATGAAGAGGAGTGGTGAGATTAAGCAATTCTGTCGGACCCCACTACTCTAATGGAACAATGGAGAGAAGTGGTTGTATGCCCACAATCGGCCTAAGGTGTTTGTATATAGGACCATCAAGATGTTGGTAAACTTCTCAGACACACCCTTCTTCAAAAGACAATTCCAAACAACCGTCTTGTCAAACGAATTGAAATTGGCCCTATTATCAAGAAACACATTTGTTGGACTGCCATATGACGGCGTTGTTCCATCATTTTTGTTGAATGTGAAGAAATCATCAATGCATTCTGAACCAGAACATAAATCAGCCTGCTCCCCGAAATTCATTTTCCCTGTTTTTGAGAAATCTGCAACGTAGAACTGAAGCCAATAATATGGACACAATCGAAAGTAGACAATTTAAAGGGACAAATAAATAATATATTTGTAATATCCCAATGAGTAGAAAATTAGATTTTCTGACGTTTCGTGGCTTAGTGTAAGTCACTTCTTCAGAGAATATATAACCAAATTAAAATTAATCCTAGTTTAAATAGTACAACGGAACAATTTAAAGGGGCAGACTAAGAGCAAATTTGTAGTTCTTCACTAAGGTTTTGAATACAGATCTTGAATAAACAACAGATGTCGATAATAGGAATTTCTCTTGATATTGCCAACACTATCTGTTGTTCGATCTGCATTAATGTGCAAACGTCCAAGGGCAGTTCGAATGGCACATTTGGTTTCAGAGTTGCTGATTCGTAATTCATATTCGGTTGTAGTATCCAACTTCTGATCATTCAAAGACTCCAGATCGTCCAGCTAGGACAAGATTCGCATCACAGGTGAGCTGCTTTATGCGTTGGAAAATAAAAGAATACACAGAGCGCGAATAAACGAAAATAAACAAGTGACGTAATATAAATAAAAATATGGTACTGAATAACAGTTAGTAGAATTTGTCAGTGGTAATTGAAGTGAAAACGATTCTTTCTAGTTTTAGTCACCCGTTTTGTGTGTGGGCTAGGATCCTACCGAGGTGCAGGTGGTTTTTTCGGAAACCCGATTCCCGAGCCTTTGACCTAAAGGTCTAATCCCCAAGTCAGTAAAGCAACGCTTGGAGATGCGCTCCATTGATAGCCGTTGACCAATAATGGGTTCATAGTCTTTATATTCTTTCAGATCCTTGAGCCCATTTTCACCACTGGTTCGCTATCAAGGTTTTCTAACTACCTTAGTTGGATCCTCCTTACCGATTTAAGCGCTAGATATTCTCTTTTCGTCTTCTCAATGTCGTAACCAACACCCTGCTGCGAGCAAGCATTCAGTAGGACTTCCCTGGCAGTGACCATATGAAAGTACTCTGAGAGGGAAAAGAAATCTTACCACCCTCAGTCTCACTAATGGGCTTTTGCGGCCCGTCGTCCTTACTGTAATTAAGTTCAGTAACCGTACGGAGTAGTGCAGATCCGTGAGATACTTCGTGCAAAAAATACGTTTGGCTTCCTAAGTAGACAGATTGACAGGATTTATGTCTGGCTGAAAGCATGATTTTCATGCTTGACACACAAAAGTAACAAAACTTCAGAAAAATAAATAGTTCCTTGTTGATTCTTTTCACCAATAGTGAATTGCAACTGAGTTGTTATCTGACAGAAAAATAATCCTAAGTAACGACTGAAAATTATGTCAAATGGTCCGAATTAGGTTGCGATGGTATCGTTCGATATATGTCTTTTTTGTTTTGCTGAGTTTTGTTATATCCCATTTACTTTACTAATCTAGTTGGTTTCATCACTTTTTTCTTCATGTTTCTTTGGTATGTTCATATGAAGTGTGGGAACTTGAACCGACACACATCTGTGCTAAGCCGTTTATTCCCCACGTATCTCTTTGTTTGATTCTACAAATCAGACAACCACTAGTACATCGTTCTTTTACACTTAAAGCGGAGAGAGCGTGAATAAGAATGGGTAATTTTTACTGATTACTTGTGATGCTTAAAATCTGAATTTATCTTTTATATAGGTTCCTTTCTTATATGCTTCTGGGAGTAGTTTCGACGAAGTCCTCGTTGGACTAGGAGCTTCTCGTATTCGACAACTTTTCACCACTGCCAAACAGAATGCACCATGTTTGGTATTTATTGATGAAATAGATTCTGTCGGGGGAAATCGCACATATTCTTCTCATCATCCTTTTGCAAACCAGACAATTAACCAGCTTCTCGCAGAAATGGATGGGTTCCAGTCAAGAGAAGGAATTATTGTTTTAGGTGCAACAAATCAAGCAGAAGTCTTAGACAAGGCTTTATTGAGACCTGGTCGTTTTGACGTCCAAATTCATGTATCACCACCAACTTATGAAGTTAGTAAATATTAGACCAGTTTGATACACCTATTTTCATATTAGTTTTGCTATCATTTAAACAGCATAAACGACTCTTATGATAGAATACGGCGATGAAAATGATCTAGCATGTATTGAGTGGTAAGCGATCATTATTACCAAACGAAATAACGAGCACAAAAGGTTTCGACACAATAGCGTCATGACGTTTAATACATAAAAAGGCAATTGCAAAAAAGCGTCATTATGCAAAAATAAAATACACTGCAATGTGACATAATATCATCTCTTACGTAACAAACTTCAATAAACACTGACTATTGAACAACACAACTTCAATAATCACTTTAAAACAGGTTACTCTACCAATATATAATCTTTACTGTTAGATAAGCAAGTCTTAGTAACAATTTTAAATTTACATCAAACATTTTTCAAAATTCAACTATGAAAAATAGATAAAATGATTAAATCAACCCCAAAAGTGTGTTGCAAATCAAGTAATTGATCTCAAGTTAATTAGTGCAACTCTTTAGAATACGACTGTAGTAGTTTGCATAAATTCTATAAAGTGAACTTAATTAACTAACACATCTACTATATTTGTCGATGATAATTTCTTATTAGCTATCATAGGCTTGTCAGTGGTTAGCCATTAGAAATTTGATATATTTACACGCCAAACAATATCCTCAAATTAACGAACGGAGCTCATTGTAGCTCACTAGAATTTAACAATACATATTAAAACTTTCCTTGATGATATGTCGTTTTACACCACTCTGTCTATCTTTATATTAATTGCTAATTATTCTCAATCTGTCATAATATAGTGAATAAATTATGATAGGAAGAGATATTTATGTTTTCATTCTAGGTTTCTATCATCAGTAATTATTAGTTTTGAAGAAAAGTTCTAATTTGACATTTCAGACAAATAATATTCTCTTTGTCTTTGAGATTCTGGTTATAATTTGTTCATTAAGACGAATAATAACATTAGTAAATTTATTTTGACTTTCACTTCATCAGCTACTATCTATAGGTTACTGTGAACAAAATCGATTGGGTTTACAATAACCTAATGTATGAATAGTTAGGTGATTAGCTACTTGTGCGCCACCACAGCAAACACTAACATTGTTATCATCCATCCTTTTTTATTGTAGGGCAGAATAGCTCTTCTAAATCTTTACTTAAAAAAAGTAAAAGCAGGCTCAAATATTGATATAGAAAAGTTGGCCCATGGAACAGTTGGATACACTGGTGCGGATATACAAAATTTGGTTAATCAAGTAAGTTTTTCTGTGTTGATGGTGCTAACCTAAATATTTTATTTTACTTGGATTTGGAGTGTCTTCTATAGGTTTGTGTACCAGGTAAGTGATCATTTCACATAAATCTCCAGATCAAAATGAAGGGAATAGATTCTAACCTCTGATCTAGTAAGTGGGAATCACAAATTAAATTATTGAGATACCCCGTGCTGTAAGTTTATTCCCGTTTGCTCCAGGTCATCCTTGTTTATCAATGATGCTACCTAGGTACGTAAAACCTTCCGCCTCTTTCAGAGCTTTTCCATCAACTGTGACTTGGTTGGCGCTTTCTGTGTTGTACTTCAGGCTCTTGCTTTTTCCTTTGTGTATGTTGAGACCTACTGTTATAGAGGCTGCTGCTTCATGCTTCTCTCACCGATGGGCGTGAGATACTCTTAAATTAACCTGATGGACCAAGTATTCAGATTAGTTTGCCAGACTAGATTAGAAATTTTAAGATGCTGGAAAATATATGTAACTCAAGAGGACGAAAAGCGAATGTCCGGCACTTTAACCCGATTGTTGGGCGTGGAGACTCCATTTACGGGAGTTGGAAAACCCTGATTCCAAACCAATGATGTACATCGACCCCAGTATCCTAAAGAAACAAATGGCGTATGAACCTATGGTTGGTCACCGGCTACCATGAGACTGCATCTCCTTACTCTGTTCCACTGCCTTGTGGATGAGACATTTAGGTCGGAGGTTCTGGGTGTGGTTCCTTAAGAAAACCACCTGCTTCTGTTTGGGCATCCGGACAGTATCCCAGCCCTCACACAAATCGAATAATTTATGTGGAGCATATCTATTTGGTGCCTCCTTCTACCAATGTTTGTGTGCTTAAGTAAAAGTAAAGCAAAGCAGGTTGAAACCTAATGATAGTAATAAGAGCGCCTGCACCATTTCACTGAATCTAATGCATAACGATGAAACTGATTTAACATATGTATATAATTTCACGTAACTTTTTGAAGATCAGTTTTTTATAGTATGTCAGTCAGTTATGTGCACACCTAGAACTTGGCATATATGTGTATCGGTTCACGTCACCACACTACATCCGCACAGTGAGATCCCAGAATGATATATGCAGTAACAGAATTAGTAGTAGTAGAAAAGATTAGGGATAGAAGATATGTAATTTTAGGAGAAAGTATGGATTCATGCAGTTAGAACTTACAAGATATTTTAGAAACTTAGGATCTAAGGGAAGACAAAGAGTGAATGCATCTAATCCATCACGAATGATTCTGAGCCCATATCACTTTACGTAGTCTACAATTTCGTATATAAACTGTTCACTTCAAAGAACTATATACTCATATTCTATTCGAACTTTCATTATCTTAACTTTTGTTAACTTTGCTCTTACTGTTACTTTCGAAGAACTTATCTATGGTTTTGAGGTGCCCTGCTTACTAGTCATTCTATGTTTTTTCATGATTTCAGTTTATTGCAATTTTATAACTATTTACAACTATTTTCTACTGAGCCAACAACTGTTTTCCTACTTTCATTACATAAAATACATTTTGTACAAATCCAATTTCTTTCAGGCTGCTATCTCCGCTGCACTGCGTAATGATCCTTTTGTTGAAATGCATCATTTATGGGAAGCTCGTGATCGATTAATAATGGGACCGGCTAAACGTCGTCCGTTGGACGATCAAACTAATCGAGTGTCCGCATTTCATGAAGCTGGTCATGCTTTAGTAGCATTGTTGACTGCGGAAAGTATACCACTACACAAAGTATGTAGTTTAATATTTTATATGTGATTCGTTTTTATCCTGCTTTGTCGTTATAGAGAAAATTCAACCTTTCACTGAAATCCTGAACCGATTAACGTTAGACCATCATTGAAAACCTGGATGCACTGAACGGCCGTTTCAGTCAAGTATGGGACTCAGCAGTGAGTATGCATGATCCCGCACTGCTGAGTCACATACTTGGCTGAGACGGCCGTTCAGTGCTTCCAAGTTTTCAATGGTGGTCTAACGTTAATCGGTTCAGGATCTCAGTTAAACTCAACAATCTCCACGACCCCACCCTGATTAAAATCAACCTTGTCCATTACACTATCTCAATCATTACACAACTAAGGTACACATTTTTTTTGACTATTTGCGTTGATATTTGTGTTAGTATCTGCTTTTATAAACCGTAAAAATATAATTTACATTCCAACGTGAGTCATACACCTGTATACATATGTAAGCGTTTGTCGTTTTTGTGTGATTACCTGTACAATTATATACAGCCCTAAGGGTGAATTCGCCAAAAGATAGTTGTTCAGTCATTCAGTTAGCTACAACGTAGGACCAGGCACATATATGCATCGGTCCAAGTTGCCACACCTCATTAGCACAACAAAATGAACACTAAATCCATAGTAGTTACTTCAATGGTAGTAATAAATAAAAGGAAGATTGTCTGCAATGATATAATACAGGAAGAAAGAATTAGTTCGTAGAAAGAAAGGTATAAAGCAATTTTAATCTCATGGTTTAAAGGAAAATAAAGAGTTTATACACCTACACCATTGTGTTCGATTTTGAGCCATGTCACCCATCTATGCTATATATTGAAGCAATACTCACAGGATGCGCATATGCCAATCAAGATTAATTAAATTTCAGTCAAAAATATAAATAATGGAAAAATTCCAAACCATTTCAATCTGAATTAATTCCCATTTTCTATGATTTGGAAGCAATTCATACATTGTATAGATGACCATATTATGCCTCTTCTATTTTGTTTCTTCCCTGGATATTTTATCCATATTGTATTTTATTTTTAATTTAGGTTACAATTATTCCTCGAGGTGAGGCAGGCGGCCTTACTAGTTTTCTACAAGAAAAAGATATAAGTTTCATGACTCGTGCACAATTATTAGCTCAATTAGATGTATTGATGGGTGGTCGAGTTGGCGAAGAATTAGTTTTTGGTGCAGACAAAGTTACCACTGGTGCAGCAGATGATTTTCGAGTAAGTAATTGCATAGAGATCATTTCTATTGAAATAAGAGCCTTTTCATTTCAATTGTAAGTTCCCAATTTAAATTAAGTTGACTGTCCAACGCATTATCAAATGCATAATTGAGGAGTCATAGGTTTTACTAAAACTTTTAATCCAAGTTTTCATTGAAAGTTTTAGAGATATTCTCAATTGGTTCATATTTCTAGCTTCAGTTAATTCACTATATTGCGCGATTTTCATCTGTTATTATCGGTAATACCGTTGGGCCCCCAAATGCCCTGGTACGGCCGAGAGTGGGGAGAGTCCGCTCTCCCTCTCGAAATGCTCTCACATGGCCATGCGTATATAGCCTCTGCCAGGGAAGTCCTACTCACTGCCTTCTCGTGGCGGGGGTGTTGTTTACAAAAATGAGAGGACGAAAAGCGAATGTCTGGCGCTTTAACCGGACCCCAAACCAATGGTGCACATGAGCTCCAGTATCCTGAAGGAACAAATGGCGTATGAACCAATCGTTGGTCACCGGCTACCATGGGACTACATCTCCTCACGATGCTCCACTGCCTTGTGGGTCAGACGTTCAGGTCGAAGGCTCGGGGTGTGGCCCCCTAAGAAAACCACCTGCCTCGGTTTGGGCACCCGAGCAGTATCACAGCCCTCACACAAATCAATTGAGATTTGTGTGGCGCATATGTATTTGGTGCCTCCCTGTACCTATACTTATGTGTTAAAATAAATAAATAATGGGCACCAACTTAATGGTATGAAAACTAAGCGCTTTCTATGAACCCTTTAGGTCCTTGGTCTGATGCTCGCTAGGGTCATTAATGCATACCCTCAGGACTCCCATACAAGAAAAGAACAGCCTTTCATTGTTTCGTGATCATCAGTAATTCATTAGCTTAAGCCAATCTATCATGTTAACGTGTAGATTAAACTAACCCTAAAAGCTTTCTGTATTACTAATTATCGTATGTTCCCTAATGAATGACTCCAAGAGAGGATTCGCGAAATTCCGGGAAGAAGGCGTAACCAGTTGAGTTCAATCATGTAGAATTTAAGACATATGAAGATGGCTATTCAATGTTGTAAATCGATTGAAGTTAGAAACATAGTCTACTGGATGCTAAATCGACAATATAAATTTCAAACTCTCTCTGCAAGACCTGAAAGTCCTAGTTTCACTTCCCAGTGGGGTCATGGATGCACACTGTTTAGGAGTCCTATACTAGCCTAACATCTATCTTACCATGAAATTTCCATTCGCAGGTTTATTTGTACTTTATAAATTTAATTACCTTCCCTTACTCATTATCTGGTTGAATTGTCTCATCAAATTTGTTTTTTATCTTCAACAGAAAGCAACAGTTTTAGCTCAAAATATGGTTAAACGTTTCGGTTTTTCAAGTAAAATTGGACCAAGAGTTATACCAGATAATCAGGATGACCAACTTGGTCAAGCTACACGTGACCTGATCGATAAAGAAGTTGACCAGTTACTCAATGATTCTTTAACTCGTGTACGTACTTTACTATCTAATCAAAGTAAACAACATAGACTTCTAGCTGAAGCATTACTTCATTTTGAAACATTAACCAAAGATGAAGTGATAGCAGTAATAGCTGGTAAAATGAAACCTCCTAAAACCCCATCAGTAACATCAAAATCAACAACTCTTCTACCACAGTTAGGTTCTTCACCATCACCTGAAATTCATGTATAATTGTTTCATTAACCATTGTACATCTTGTTGATTTTGTTTCGTTTTTGTCCATTAAACAATACTCTACACACACACACACACACAAACCATTATTTTCTTCAAACTTATCAGCTTATTTACAAAAACTTCCAATCCTTCATTCAGTTTTCTTTTTTTTTTTGCTTCTTGTGACAAGTTGGTGTATTATTTTAGTTATTCTTCTATCATTTCCTAAATTTAATTCATTTACTCGTTATACTTTCACCCTTTACCCCTTTCACTTTCCAGAGAGAGAGAGAGAGAGAGAGAGAGAGAGAGAAACACTGTAACTATTCCCAATGATAGTTATATATGCATATATGTATTTATATTACATTTTATGCTTTATAAATGAATAAAAAATGATATTTAACTGAAATGTAGATGTAATAAATGATGAAGCCGTAATTTACCTGTTCAATTGATCGACTTTTAACTTTATAGCCATACAATCAGGTATTGTGATTGCTCAAATTTGTCAAATAATTGATTATTTAAAAAAAGAAAACCTAAGTACTTTTGTATTCGTTGTGATATATAATTAAACAGGCTTTATGAACTAATTATCGTTATATTGATTATATATTAGATTTCTTAAACAGAGAAAATGAATTTCGGGGAGCAGGCTGATTTATGTTCTGGTTCAGAATGAATTGATGATTTCCCAAAAATGTTGAAAAACCGCCGTCCTATGGCAGTCCAACAAATGTGTTTCTTGATAATAGGGCCAATTTCAATTCGTTCGACAAGACAGTTGTTTGGAATTGTCTTTTGAAGAAGGGTGTGTCTGAGAAGTTTACCAACATCTTGATGGTCCTATATACAAACACCTTAGGCCGATTGAGGGTATACAACCACTTCTCTCCATTGTTCCATTAGAGCAGTGGGGTCCGACAGAATTGCTTAATCTCACCACTTCTCTTCATCTTTGCCATCGATGACGGTCCGGAGACGGAACTGATAGGTGTAAGTAATGATGTGGATCCATTACATGGAGAAAGACTTTCCGACCTTGAGTATGTGAGTGATATTGTTTTATTGTGTGGTGATATCCAAACCATGCGATCCGTACTTAACCAGTTGGTAATCAATGTCTGTGAGCATGGCATCTGCTTAACACCAAAGTGCAAATTACTTTTACAAGACTGACAGGAGCCTGAACATGCACTCAATTTTGGTAGTAAGCAGATGGATGTAGTCGAAATGATCGTGTATCTGAGTAGCTGCTCAAGTGCTGGTGGTGGCGTGAGTGATGAGATGGACTCATGCATGGTAAAAGCCAGAGTGGTTTGTGTCAATCTGAGTCATCTTTGGTGTCTTTGTGATGTTAGTCTGGCTGTGAAAGTCCGGTTGTACGTGTCGGTTAGAGGAGTTTTGTTCTATGTTTGTGAACTCTGGTCTCTCCTAGTTGAGAATGTTAACCGACTGTGTTTGACCATGGTTTTTTCCAAGGGATTGCTGGATTTCAATAGCAACACCATATTAGTAATGGGTAGGTTCGATAATGTGTGTTCACGGCAGCGACGATAATTCTGATATGATGGAAAGAAAAGTCAATTTTCGATTGAATTACTCATTGGCAGTTTTATTCAACATTACATCCGTTTTAATGCAATGTAATGATCATTCAATGTAGTATTGATTTGTTTTCCCTGTATGATATACGATTTTCTTGTATTCAGTTGGCTTGAACTATGCTCAATATGTGATTTGTTGTAACTGTGAGTATGTGATTTAATAGGAATTATTAATCAAATTGAGTGTACAATCAATATATAAATGAGTGTGCATCTGTGGGACCTTGACGACTCCGTTTTCGAGGTTCTTGAGGTGCTATACCACAGTGGCTTGTGATGTCATCAGAAATGACGTGGAATAGAAGCCAGTGGCTATCTTGATATAACTTTTTTCATTAGTGATTGTAACGTCTTTAATTGAAAGAATTCTTCCTGGTTGCATTTTTTTTTAACTGAACTGTTTCTATTGTTATTATTTATTATTTCACTTGCATACACTAATTCCTGTTCACCGCTGCTCTTCTTATGAAGTAATTTACTGTTAGCTTGAATATATGTGTTTCATGAAATACAGACTTTCTATTTGGGGGAAGCATAGATGAATCGTCTTCGAAATTAACGAAAGAACTTTATTTGTTTTGATTGTTTGTCCTATTCTAAATATGGTAATATTTCATTATTAATCATGTTCATCGTTCTTTTTTTCGGATCATATTCTGTATGTTTAATATTATTATTTATCCTCTTAGCCCAATGTATATGAATATCTCCGTTTAGATTTTTAAGAGTATTATTATTATTATTATTATTATTATTATTATTATTATTATTATTATTATTATTATTAGTGGCTTTATTCAATATTCTATTTTTGGCACAATATAGAATTCTCAACACACAGTTTTTTCAACAAGTTTCCCTTTCTTATTTTCTTGATCACTTCTTGCGATAAATATTGACTGGAGGTCAGTTAGATGTTAGCAATTCAGGAATCGACATCTGATAAATGTATATCCTTTTCGATGCATATTGCCAGTAACCATGATGTCTCTGATTGAGCTCTTTTGTAACTTGTACAGCGAAATATTGTAAACTTTTCACAAACGCACCTGAATAGGTTATGAGACTAATAGACATAATGATGTGTTAAAACAAACAAGAAAACAGATAACTTGTTGAAATATCCAGATGGCAGGAACAGGTAGCCCAGATATTCAAGCAGGCCGCCGCCCTATATAACTTCAAGGATGATATTTTATAATCATCACTAATGAATTAATTTCTTTGGATTTGCTTTTGAGAGTGATACCTATTGATATGTTTGCGGATTCATGATTAACTTGCCTTATTCCAATCCATTAAGAAAAGTTTGTATTTGCTGCTTGTAGTGTAAGTTCTTGGTAAATATTCCAGAATCAATACTTTCTTCTATTTTATTGGTCATTCAGTGCTTTATAAACTGAAAACATGAAATGAAACGATTTATATTAGATATGTTTAAGCAGTAAACATAAGTTATGTGATAAAATAAGTGAAAATTCTCCATTACGACTACAATTAAGATGTAAAATATAGGTGGAACATGTTATAGTTTCATTTGAATGATAAATAGATTGTTTGATATCATGTCAAGTAGGTTTGAAGTGGTTATCACTGTCAGACTTTACAAGATGTGTACTTGTATCGTTCAATCGTTGGAGTTAGTTGGAACAAGCTAAATTTCGTGCTACTTTGCACCCGCCAGTAAGACATACTTGCAATCTGGAGGTAGCTGATGTTACATGATGATTTCGAACTCAGGTCATACAATTTTAGAAGTTACCATTGAGGTTATAAGACCTCAGCTGACCTTCTATAGTGAATACTGCGTGGCCAATCAACTGTTTACTTTCATTTTAAAAGTAATCATTGGTGATTTCTTGTCTCAATAAACAATTAGAAGTTTACAGTTTAATACTTCTAGCATCTGATGAACAGCAAAGTATTAATAATGTTTTCAACAGTAGGATAGTTGTATCTACTCTTCAGAGTGGCAATCTACTTTTTCCCCATTGTGTTTGCATGAATTTCTGAAGTTAATAACACACAATTTTCGTATCATTTTACCCTACTACTTTTGCTGACGGTGTTAACCTATGAAATATATCCCTTCATAGTCTCTTCAGATTATTTTATCAGTTACATAATAGTATTCAGAAGTTTTCGAGTCAAAAGCAAGTCTTTCCTCATGACTCAATCATCTCGCTCCATGGATGTAAGTTATGTTTTTGAAATGTCCACAAGTATGACTATCCACTAATCTGACTAGACAAAATTAAAAAGGAATTACTTTGAAAGATTTTTCGTTTAGTGAAACTTTATGCCTGGTCACTTAAATGACTGCTGATATATGACCTCCAGTTTAACACACACACGAATGCAGATGATGTGACCTCCCACTACGTAGAAAACAGACGGAGTCTTTAATCCTTAAACAACAGTGATAATAAATTATTGATCGAACTGGAGTAAGAAATTGTAAACTAATAAGATTTTTCAAAATGCAACAGCTACCAAATCATTAATTATCGATCGGAAATAAAGATGATAGTTTTTACTTTTATAGCACCCAATCATAGATAATTTTCTATATCATTACATAATATTTGTTATAACATCATTATAATTCAGCCAATTCGCAAGGAGGCAAGTTATACTCTTGTCCGGTCGTAGCATGCCACGTTGATATTCTAGAAAGCTCCATCACGTTCTGATTGGATGGGAACTCGTCGGCTTCATTAGGGCCTCTGGTAGCTCTTTCGTAATTCTCGGAAGCCGTCTCAACACCTTCCCAAATAAGATCTCCTCCTTAGGTCTACTTGTCACTTGGCAGTCGGTTTTTGGTGGTGTTTCATTTTTCCTCTGTCTTCCTTGTCCAAGTCTTCTTTTCAGTATTCTTGAGCGTATATGTCGTTGATGTATCTGAGATTAACTCTGGTGGAAAATTCATCTGATTATCTTGGGTGTGCATCATTTTTCACTCTTGATGGATTTGGTTCGTGTGCCTAATACATCTCCCAAAAGCTCCTCGGACTCTATACAAAACTCTTCCCAATCTTTGTATGATTTCTGTCGGTTCCCATTGATTCTCTCCGAAGTGGGACTTAACGAACACCTTATCGCCAGCATTAAAACTCAGTCTGTGCCCATCCATTATTTTGGGTGGTAACATGATGTCGAGGATAGTCCGAATATGTCTTCTAAACATGACTTCAGCAGGGAACCTCCCACCTGGGACAGTCGGGTCCAGAGTAGTTCTGTAAGCCGTTAAAAAATTTTGTGATTACCTGTCTAGTTGACGGAGAGAGAAGTAAATAGTGTTCGCAGAAGATTCGATGTTGATGAATTAAGAGAAAACCTTAAGTCCACGATATACTCTGTCTTAAACCTGACTGATTTTATGGATTATTTATTTGGATATATAACTGTAGAACCTGATAAGACAGTTATATTCTTTGTATTAACCATTGTGAACTTGACATGCGCCTTACAGTAACTACTTTTTCTCATTTATATGATGCTTCTTAACTAATCCTTAAGCCTGTGCGAAACCAGTCCATAAATGAGCATATTTGGTTTATTAATGATGTGATTATGGATGACTTGTTTTTGTTTGGGCGGGGGGGATTTCTCTTCAGAGAGTTGATTAATCTTCATTTATATCAATATTTGTGTTCTTACATTGCGCCATGGGAGTTTCCAGTGGTTCACGTTTTCCAAGCATTAACAGTAAAATCATAGATACAAATGAACCGATATATACATAGCTGAAGCAACATGGCTATAACAATAGGTTATATACTACCCGAAATTATCAGACGTGAATATTGGTTTCCATCATAACTGTTACATTCACTAGTAATACCAAATGTTCCATCTAAAGTTTCTCTCAAACTGGTTGATTTACGTATAGTAGTTTGTTTAAAATCCCTATTAAATAAATGATGTTGCACCATCTCCAATC